AAAAGTGTTTTTCTTTCCAGCATTCATCATAGCATGAAGGACGTATCCCAGTTTATAATACCATACCCTTGATTTATATAGCAAAGGATATTTAACAAATTAAATCTATTAAGAAATAACAACAGTCTGAAAAAATAGGGTAGATATATTTCGCTCACTAAATGCATTAAAAAAAAAAATCCCTCTTCTCCCAAGCCCTGCCCAGCAGTGAGGAGGAACACCCCTGGGGTGCCATAGGAGGCTAAATAGGAAACTTAGACTTCCACTCCCACCTGAAAGTAGTAAGATGGCACCTAATAACCCCTGCCAATGTGGTATCAGAGGAGGCCTGCTACAAAGATTTAAATTAAATCCACAGTCTCGTAAAATAATACCCAAAATGTCTAGGATATAATACAAAATCATTCATTATATCAAGAACCAAGAAAATTTCAATATGAATGAGAAAAAACAATGAACAGATGCCAACAGCAACACCACCAAGATGACAATGCAGTTGGAATTATCTGACAAGGATTTTTGATCAGCCTAATAAAATGCTTCAGTGAGCAATTAAAAACACACAAACAGAAAAAATAGGAACTCTCAGCAAGACAGAGAATTTAGAGAAAAACCAACAGTCTATAGTAGAACTGAAAAAATACAATAACTAAAATGGATGCATTCAACAGCAGAATGAAAAAAAAAGGATCAGTCAACTTGAAGAAAATAGTATAAATTTCCTAATCTGAACAAGAGGAAAAAAAAAAGATAAAAATGAACAGAGCCCCAGGAATTTATGTGGCTACAACAAAGGATCTAGCATTCATGTTATCAAGTTCAGAAGGGGAAGAGAAAGAAGGCAAGCATAAAAAAGTATTCAAAGAAACAACGTCTAAAAATTTCCCAAGTTTGGGAGAAGACATAAACCTGTATATTCAAGAGGTTAAGTGAACACAAAATAAGATAAATTCTAAGAAATCCAAGCCAAGACACATCATGATCAAACTTCTAAAAACTATAGACAAAGAAAAAATCTTTAAAGCAGCTGGAGAGAAAGAACACCTTATTTTTAGGGGCAAAACAGAATGACAAAAGATTTTTCATCAGAAATCAGAGAATCCAGAAGGAATTGATGTAATAGTAAAGGATTTTAACTGTTTACCTAGAATTCTTTATCTAGCAAAAAGGAGTGAAGGAGAAATCCAGACATTCTCAGAAAAAAGGAAAGTAAGAATTTATTGTTAGCATATCTACTCTGAAAGAATGGCTAAGGAAGTTATTAAAGAAGAAAGGATATCATAAAAAAAGGGGATCTTAGAACATGAGAAAGGAAGAAAGAACAATGGAGAAAGTGAAAATATGAGCTCTGAGAAAGGACTGAAGAGAAAGGACTAGTGCAATATGGAGTGGTGCCAAACTACAGCCACATGAACAAGCCATGGATGGGACTGTGACTGTGGAGAGGAGCCTATATGGTGGGGCTGTGCATAATCAGAGCTTCAGTCTCTATTCTCCAGCACATACCAATCACCAATATGGCAGACACACTTGGCTGCCTACCTAATAGGCAAAACTCCCCTAACTTTCTTGTTAACAAAGCTATGATTTAGATCTTACCTGACCATGCATTTGGTGATTCAAGGGAGGCCAGTTACCTCCCAAGACCTACATATTAAATTTATAATTGGTCAATGCCAATTGTAATTCCATTCCCTTCATCAATACTTGATTCAGGCAGGGGTATGAGAAGCAATTCTAAACAGCAATTCATTAAAAAATAAATAAATAAACAGGGATTCATTAACAGATTATCTTCTGAGGGACTGCTGAGAAAGGATAAAAACATATGCAATGGCGTTAATACGGTCCCTTTTTCTGACTGTGAAAGTCACTGATATCTGAAAATGAGGCGTCAACCTGAGAACAAACTCACATACTACAGAGAACAAACAAAAAGACAGAAAAAAACTTGATTTCTTATTACATCACTGAAGGGCTGAATTAACCAAGTCTAACACTAACCTATCTTTAAAGTCATATTACAAAAAATATCTTTTTTATTTCCAAGCATTACATGAAAATGCTGGACAGTAGTCCATTATATGAATTTACCATAATTATTCAACTATTTCTCTACTATTGGATCCTTAAGTTGCCTTTTTCTTTTTTTTCCATTATAAAAGCTGATGCAATGAACATCGTTTGGCATAAAGTTTTATCTAAATTTAGGGTATGCTTTCCATGGACTTCATTTCTAGAAGTGAAATTACTAGGTCAAATGGTATATGACCTAATCCTGGCCAGTGAGAGGAAATGAGATGTTTACTGGGTATATTTTTCCTTCTTATAAAGAACAAGAGACAACGTCTTTCACTGGACATTAGCATGTCTGTATATAATACCTTGAATGATACCAATCTGAGAACAAAGCCAATGAAGTAAAAGATGGGAGTCTGATACTGTTGTTGAACCACTGAGTTAACCAACTTCAAGGACCCTTCTTTTAGTCTTTTTCCATTATTTGAATTATAGTTTATTTTTAATTTTTTTATTTTAATATAATTGACATACAATGTTGCATTAGTTTCAGGTACACAACATAGTGATTCAACATCTTCATACATTATGCTATGCTCACAAGTGTACCTACCATCTGTCACCATACAATGTTATAATATCACTGAAAATATTCCCCTATGTCTTTTATTCCTGTGATTTATTCATTCCATAACTGGAAGCCTGTATCTCCCACTCTCCTTCATTCAGTTTGCCCATCCTTTCCACCCCCCGTCCTCTGGCAATCATCAATTTGTTCCCTGATTCTGCTTTTTTGTTGTTGTTGTTGTTTATTCACTTTTGTTTTTTACATTCCACATATGAGTAAAATCACATGGTATTTGTCGTTCTCAAGACCTCATCCTTTCTTTGTGGCTGGGTAATGTTCCACTGTGTATATTTGTGTGTGTGTGTGTGTGTGTACATATATACACACCACATCTTCTTTATCCATTCATCTACTGATGGACACTTAAGGTGCTTCTATATCTTGGCTACTGTAAATAATGCTGCAATAAACAGGGGTGCTTATTTCTTTTCAAATTAGGGTTGTCACATTCTTTGGGTAAATACCCAGAGTGGAATTATTAGATCATACGGTATTTTTATTTTTAATTTTTGCAGGAACCTCCATACTGGTTTCCACAGTGGCTGCACCAATTTACATTCCCACAAACAGTACACAGGGTTCTTTTTTCTTCACATCCTCATCAACATTTAAATTTCTTGTGTATTTGGTTTTAGCCATTCTGACAGGTGAGGTGATATCTCATAGTAGTTTTGATTTGCATTTCCCTGATGACGAGTGATATTGAGCATTTTTACATATGACTCTTGACTATCTGTATGTCTTCTTTGGAAAAATGTCTATTCAGGTCCTCTACCCATTTTTTAATTGGATTGGGTTTTTTGGTGTTGAGTTGTAGAAGTTCTTTATTTATTTTGGACATTAACCCATTATCGGATACACCATTTGCAAATAACTTCTCCCATTCATTAAGCATCCTTTTTGCTTTTGTTAATGGTTTCCTTTGCTGTGCAAAAGCTTTTTATTTTGATGTAGTCTAATAGTTTATTTTTGCCTTTGTTTCCCTTGCCTGAGGAGACATAAATGTTGCTATGACTGATATCAAAATTATTGAGCTTTAATCCACTTTTAGTTTATTTTTATGTCTGTGTCAGAAAGTGTTTCAGTTTCATTCTTTTGCATGTAGCTGTCCAATTTTCCCAGCACCACTTAATTGAAGAGACAAGCTTTTTTTCCATTGTATATTCTTGCCTCTTTTGTCATAGATTAATTGACTACATAAATATGGGTTTATTTCTGGGCTCTCTACTCTGTTTCATTGATGTATGTGTCTTTTTGTGCCAGTACCATACTGTTTCAATTACTACATCTTTGTAGTATATCTTAGAATTTGGGATTGTGATACCTCCACCTCTGTTCTTCTTTCTCAAGACTCTTTTGGCTATTTGGTTTTTTTGTGGTTCCATACCAATTTTAGTATTATTTGTTCTAGTTCTGTGAAAAATGCTGCTGGTATTTTGACAGGGATTGCACTGAATGTATAGATAGCTTTGGGTAGTGGTGACATTTAAACAATATTAATTCTTCCAATCAATGAGCATGGAATATCTTTCTATTTGTATTGGTTTCAATTTCTTTCATCAATATTTTATAGTTTTCAGAGTACAGGTCTTTCATCTTCCTGATTAAGTTTATTCCTAGGCATTTTATTCTTTTTGGTGCATTTGTAAATGGAACTGTTAATTTCTCTTTTCTGCTGCTTTGTTTTTAGTGTATAGAAATGCTACCATTTTTGCATATTAATTTTGTATTCTGCAACTTAACTATTTATTACTTCTAATAGTTTTTTGGTGGAGTCTTTAGGGTTTTCTATGTATGGTATCATGTCATCTGCAAATAGTATTAAGTTTTACTTCTTCCTTACCAATATGGATGCCTCTTATTTCTTTTTCTTGTCTGATTACTGTGGCTAGGACTTCCAGACTATGTTGAATAAAACTGGTGAGGTGAACATCCTTATCTTGTTTCTGATCTTAGAGAAAAATTCCCTCATTTTTTCACCACTGAGTATGATGTTAGCTATGGTTCTTTTTATATAAGACAATAAATTATACACAGTCCAAAAATTTCAATAGAAAATTAGCTCACATCAGCCATTTGTATGCCCAAAGATAAAACTGAGAACTGCTTATGATATCACAGCAAACAATCCAAACAGACTCCTGTTTCAGTTATGAAAATTAATGTAAGTTTTAAATAAACACTCCTGAACAGTCACATTTTTTCAAAGGAATTAGAGTTGAATGTTATTTGAAAACATCTAAAAAAAATTATAGGATCATTAATTTAGACTGCAAATTAGAAAAAATCATGTTTAATTCAAAATGGTCTTTAAATAGCAAAAATAAATGAACACAAAGCATGTTGTACTTACAAATCAAACACCAAATAATGGAAGCCCTCTTCTGATATGCTGTCATGAAGTCGCACTAAAAAAAAGCGGTGGGAGAAAAGTTTATGTTATATATATGCCAATGATGAACATTAAACCAGACTTCTAATGGGCATCTGTCTCCTAACTAAAAGTGTTGGCAACGTTCTTTATTCTAGGCTCTGATAAGCAGTATCCTTTACAACAAGGCTTGGGTTCAGACAAACCCAAGGTTTAGATTTTGGTTCTGATAATTATTAACTGTGTAGGCTTAATCATTTTTTTTTTTAAGACAGCGAGAGAGGAAAGAGGGCAAGCAGGGAAGGGAGAGGTAGAGGGAGATGGGGAGAGAGAGACTCTTTACTAAGCCGGCTCCACACAGCCCAATGTGGGGTTTGATCCCACAACCCTGAGATCATGACCTGAAGTGAACTCAAGAGCCAGATGCCCAACTGACTGAGCCACCCAGGTGCCCCTGTGTGAGCTTAATCAAATTAAGCAACTTATTATGATAATAGTACCTATACTTTACAAAATGGTTGAGAAGGTTAAATGAGGCAACAAAAGTAAAATAATCCACATGTTGCTGGGATAAATAAATACTAATGACTGTTATAATATATATACTTCTATTCAAAGTTAGCAGGTTCTAGGAATTCTCCCACTTAGTGTCTCTTCCTTGCCATTCTCTTTGCTATCTCCCTAGTCCAGTTCTTCACCAACTCATGCCTTGATCAATACAATAAGGAGCAAGAGGGATCATTTGAAGAGTCCAGCAAATGGTCTTGCTTCTGCTCTCCCTGCCCCGCCCCCCTTTTTTTGGTGGGGATGGAGAGAGTTTCTACATAGCACTTCCTGGCCAACCTGTCAACAGAGTTTTTATTATGCTACTTCTAAACTCAAGTCACCAAAATCCATTTACCAAGTCAGCCAAAATTATACAGGTAGAACTTCTAATAAAATAATCTACTAGTTCCTCAAATTAATACTACTTTAATTTTTCCAATGAGATAGACTTTCACTGATAGGTAGCCAAAACAAATATTTTGCTCTTCTGAATGAACAACACTCATTATCTACTATAATTCGAGAGTAAATTACACATGTACAACTTACATACTGCTTTTTCTGTGATTAATTTTTGCATAAGTCCCCTGCCTCCCCCAGTGCATCCCCGCAGATGGTAAACTCTTCCTATTTATCCAAATCACTTGTGGTGGCTTGGACTTCACTGGGAGCAACAGAGGGCAGAAAAAGAAACAAACCTGTAGGACACAACTGCTTTTGAAAAGTTACCACAAAAGGATGATGATTTCTACTACCGCCGGTCCTTAGTATGTTCCCCATGCAATGATGACCACCACATAGAAAATGTGGATTCCAAAGAACACTTAGATTGTCACACAAACTACAATGATCTACAGAGGGAGTCTGAAGTACCCACGAAATGCTCAAGGTCATAGACTTAATATAATGTCCATTCTTTACAATCTAGTTCCATCCCCTTCAGACACCATACTTGGGCCACTATTAAAATCTTTTCTGAATCTCTCTTTAGAAACCTTTCCAAGGTAGAGAACTAAAGACTTTTGTCCATTTTATGGATTTTCTTTCTCATCATTACTACCATCCAGTTATCGTATTTCACAGGTTTTTGAATCCTTCAGAGACCTGACAAATGGTAGATGGTCTTTCATAAAAATTGCTTTGAGCACTTACTATACTATGTGCTAGGCATTGTTCCAAGTTTTTTTCACCAAAGCTCAGTATACCTATATATGTCTAAAATAAAACTACTGATATCAAATGATTCTCGCATAACTTTAATTGTGTGAAGGGTATTCTTCAGTTTACCAATATCAAAGATGCCCACTACCTTAGTCTAAACTTATGCTGCTGAAGAAAATCAAAAGTTAGACTCAATGATGTATTCTGTTCATAGTCATTCAGCACAGTAAGGAAAGCCAGGTCATGACAGATAATTCAGTGGCTTTCTTGAATGACACAGTCTCACAGATACCTACCTCACTGAGCAGCTCTAATACAACCTGTGTTTAAATAACCTCAGTGAATGGTAGGTCTACTTAAGTCAGACAGTTATTCAATGAAAATAAGATCGATTTGCATCCTATCAAAGTTAAAATGAGAAGTAAAATCACAATGTGAGCAGGAGGAAATGATTCTTTCTTCCACTGTCTCAAAATAAAAACTTCAAGTGGAGATGCAGATCTTAGGTTTTCAGATAAAAGGGTTGTGGAGTTAAACAAAAGTGGAAATTTCAGTTACAACTGGAGAAATATTACTTTCTGTTTCTATCTGGAATAAAATCTTCTTAGTATGATTATCACTTTCTTATTAATACTTGCACATCATTATCATTTGGAAGTAAATTATTTTTTGAAAAAGTTAAGTGTTGCTCAGATCAAGCCTAATGATCAAATATATATTGTTTTTGGTGAAAACTAGTTTCACAAAAGTATTTAGCCAGCAAGCACATAATAATTGCTTAAGGACAAACCATTTGGCCCAAGGTCATTACTTTTGCATCACACAATTCCAAAACAACCTCCACTAATTCTTTTTTTAAAGATTTTATTTGTTTGACAGAGAGAGAGAGAGACAGCGAGAGAAGGAACACAAGCAGTGGGGAGTGGGAGAGGGAGAAGAAGGCTTCCCGCTGAGCAGGGAGCCTGATGCAGGGCTCAATGCATGGCTTGATCCCAAGACCCCGGGATCACGACCTGAGCCAAAGGCAGACACTTAACAACTGAGCCACCCAGGCGCCCCAACCTCCACTATTTCTAACCAGCCATTTGACCAGGTGAAATTAATTATGAATGAGTGAGGTTATTGATACAGCAGAAAAAACTAGCATCATCTTTACTTGGGATAAATACATACACATTTACTTCCTTCCTTTATTCCTTCCTTTCTTATGACCTCCCTACCTCCTTCCACTCTTACAGAACCGGAAGAGAGAACTGATGAATTCATCACAATTTTTCATTTATTAACGAAACTATATAATTTCATCTTTGCATGGATGTTCCACTGTTTACAATTACTCTAAGGATGGGTTGGTTTCCTTTTGAAACTTTGAACTCTTTATCATTCTCAGAGTTGATGATAGATTTATACAGCCTGAAGACACTTACACACCACAGATACCTTTTTATTTTCCAGCCATTTCAGTCAGTCAAAAGTATCCATCTTCCATCCTTTCCCTCTTTTTTAACAGTTTGCCATGGGTTGAAACTGTGTTTACTTTCACAAAAACTTACATTAGTTTTTCTCTATAAATAACTGTCAATTCATTTCCATGCTGAAGGAAACACAGGATATTCTGTTCACCACAGATGTTAGCCTAAGACTGCAGACATGGCCAGCCTTGAGAGGACTGTGGCTGCTCCATGTTGAAACATATTGCACGGTGTTCTTGTTATGACTGCTCTTTGTTATTGCCATAAGCTGTACATATGGGTGCACACAATTAACTTAATCACAGTCATCACTAAGATGCTTTCAGAAAGAAACGTTAAAGAAGACAATGAGAAAAGCATTTGAGAACATCCCGGTAGTCATTCTTTTCTGAAGTTTGCTCAAAGGTAAAATCAAGTTTATGAATGAATGAGTTTTCATAAATGGTAACCATGTAACAGTTCTTATCCAGAATAAAATTAAAAATTCTAGGGCATTAAGCATGAGACTTATAAGGGGAGAAAAGGTGTTCCTGAGGCTAAAATGTTTCCAAAATTCAGTTGATCCATGACCTAATCTTTTTCCTTTCTCTCCCTCATGTTATCCATTTGGTCATTTGCATTCAAATTATCATGGGATCACTGCTTTCTCCTCCTGTCCTACATTCCTGTATGATTTCACTGCAGTTTCTAGTTAAGTACTAGTTCCACAAAGGGGCCAAATAGGACTAAATAGGACCTTGTAATTATCTGAGAAAACTGATTTTATTTAAATGTGAAAGAAGCATCCTATTTATTTTAAAACATCCTTTAAGGAGTTAAAATATAATAAAATAACTACGGTGCTTATTGTGTCAACACAATGCAAATAATTTTTGCAAGAGTTATTTTAGTTAATATATAAGACCTTTTCCCATCATTTTTTACAAATGAATATGCACAGGCTTGGAGAGGTGAAAGAAACTTCCAAGGCTTAACAGCTAGTAATTGGCCAGGCTACGACCATAATCCAGAGCTGGAGGATTCCAAAGCTGGTTCTTGCTCAGAATACTATATGGACTCTCTAAAGTACAGCTGTCAACAAACTACTCCCCTCCCCTCTCCCCAAGACATTGTAGAGCATGAATTGGTTTGTCAGGATAAAATAATATTTAAAAAAGAATTAAAGAGGAAGAAATAGTTATGGTGACTAGAGAAAGAAAAGCAGTGCTAAGAAAAAAAATTACACAAAAAGAGAAAAGTATTTTCAGCTTAGGAAGTTTAAAATGTGATGCTGTAGTTTGGGGGATACAGAGACAGCTAGATGATATCTAAGATACAGAGCCAACACCAGCCACATTTGTCTTTCTATGTAGTCCCTAAATCCCTAGAAAATTGTTAATTCTCTTCAAATTAGGAACGTTAGACTATCCAGTGACTCAGCTATTTTACCTGATAGGATATTTAATGTACCAAAAATCCTAATTAAAGAACCTGGAAAACTCACACAATGTGTAAAACAGCATAAATTTAACTATTTCTGTTTCCAAAATTAACATTTCTATGACATGGATACTACGATAACATGGGAAGAGGCAGAGGTATGTGTGTGTGGGTGTCAGGAAGTAGAAATGGGTATGCAAGGAAGAAAAGGGAAAGACTAGGAGAATTAAACTCTAATTGCCGATTAGGTACATCTTATCTATTTTGATGACATATATTAAGAACATTTCTGTCAAAAGAAAGTGAACATATTCTTTTATGGTGACTTAATATCTTTCAAAAAAGACTAATAGCATACAAAGTCCCTTGTTTCAATTTCAGCATACTTCCCTCCCTCTTCATTTCCTAACAGCATCCTTCAAATACAATCAAGGGTGGT